CATTTTATTCACTTAGTTAGCATGTCAATTTTTAATTATACTAGTATTTAATTTGGAGTTTGCAACATTGAAGAGATTTTAATGTAGATTCTGAATATGTTAACTTTTAATTGTTAAAAATTGAATTAATTATCAATAAAGAGGATTTAACTTTAGCATTGGTTGACAAAAAAAGATTGACTTTGCTTATCAATTTGGGACGGAGGGAGTATGAAAATTGATGAATTGTGTGAATTTTTGGAAGATGGTCAAATTTTAATTCCCTCAACACTTGGGAAAAGTGGCATTGTTTGGTATTGGTATGACATGGTACCATCCCATTTGAAAATGAAACCGTACCGAACAGGTTTAGGTGTAAGACCGAACCGAACTGAACCGTTTGAATAGTCACGGTACGGGTACGGGTTCGACCAAACATGGACCGGACCGAACCGGACCGCGCCCACCTCTATCGAATGGGATGTTGTTGAGATTATCTCAGAATATGTACATGGGATTTGACGTGGAAGACTAATTAGGGGTTGTTTACTTTTCATTTAATGAACCTGATGAGATGTCGATTTAATCATTATATTTACTTATGAATGAAAAAAAAAATGAGAAGACTATTTTTTTTAACTTATGAATGAATTGAAAGCATTATTGAAACATTCATTAAAAATCTGACTTAATAATTAAGACGGAAATTAGCAATCGTTCCCATTAAGATGTCTATTACGGCGTCTTTTTAGAGCATCTTCAATGCTAGAGTGTGCACGATGCACATGTGGCATGCGAGATAACCACACAAATAATAGCAAATAAATTATCTCTTTTCTTATTTGATTGATTTTATACAATTTTGGTAAGTTTTTCTCTGCAATGTCAAGGAGACTATCTAGATATAGACATTGTGCTTGACATTGTTAAGAAAAACTTATCAAAATTGTATAAAATCATTCAAATAAGGAGAGAGATGATTTATTTATCAGTATGTATGTGGTCATCTCTCATGCCACATGTGCACCGTACACATTTTAGTCAATCTTTTTAAATTGATTGCAGAGTAAATTTATGTTAATAAATGAAGTTTTTCATTGATATTATATTATAACAGAAGAATAATACTAAATTTATAAAAAGAAAAGTTATTATTTTACTCAATCCAGGCTGTTTATTCTGCATACATACAAAACAACCTCATATACAAATAGTACCTCCGCCCCTAAGATTTGGACTATGGATGGACATATTGGTTTGGCTAAACCGAACGTACCAAACCGAACCATGTGCAATTTGATTTGAGTTTGGTAGTATTTCTTTCAAACCACATTAAATCGAACAGAACTGAAACCAATAAAAACAGAACAAAATCGAACCAAACTAACGAAATTCAATAAAACCTTCATATATTATTAAAAAGCCACAAATCCAAACCGAACTAAACCAAACTGAATCAAAACGAAAAATAGTGTGGTTTTTGTATGGTAATACTTCTTCCAACCCAATCGAAATCGAACCGAAATCGATAAAAACTGAAGCAAAAGTCGATTTGCCCACCCCCGATTGGGACAAACAAGAGTGGTGCAGTTTTAAAGAAAATATTAGCTAGCCATTAAAATATACTCCGTATTTATTTTGAAAATAATTTTGATAGAAATGTTAATGTGACAAATTAAATTAATTTGAGAGAAATGTTAATGTGTCAAATTAAATTAATTATGATAGAAATCATAATGTGGCAAATCAAATCACAAAAACTAACCAGCTAACCATTGAGAATGCGGTAAAGAGTTTGTGAATGAGGGTCGTGGAACTCTTTCATTTAGTTGAGGGAGGGTCCGTGGGGATCATATATATTAGAAATATTTAAGCTAACTATGCCAACAGTTTAAATTTCTATTAAATTCCAGTCCACGGTGCTCATTATTCCTATGTGAATGGAGCCATTTTTGTCTGATTACTCGTATACGTATTATATACGATAATTTGTTCCTATGCTTAAGGAACTTTTTGATAAATACAAATTTTCATGGCTTAAGCCATGCAAAATATAATTTTTCATTATTCCTATGCTTAAGGAACTTTTCATTATATCAAATTTCAGTCACGACAATTTGATCTCTTCCTTCATGGCTTCATGTGTTATGTCAGAGTTAGATCATGATTCAATTAAATTAAAGATTATTCTAAAAAAGGAGTCCAAATGGGATATCGTAAATTCGTATTGCACCGGATTGATCGTGAGACGCTACAGAATATTATCTATGAAGTGTTTCATCCAAATTACGGGTTTTATGAATTACATATGGAGTATTAGGTACCGTGTCTCCCGGTTTTTACCATCTTTTAGTATCGTTTGAGACGGACTCCGTATTTGATTACATTCTTCAAAATGTAATTAGTAAATTATTTTTTTAAAAAAATATTCTTCTAAACTTATTATAGTATACGCTCATCTCATTTTGATGCAAATATCTTTCATTGGGATGGTTACGAACCCACAACCCACAACCACAATGTATAGTACTTGGCACATAAATTAGTAGTTTTTTTTATGGAATAAATTAGTAGTTGAACATTGAAATTTAAACAATTCATTTAATGAAAATGAAATGCCAATATTTGAGAAAACGTAAGTACGTTGATAGGCATAAACTAAAAACACAATTAATTAATAGCCATAAACTGAAAATACAAAAGTAACCACAAACGAGTTACATGTAATTATAAAAGCAATTAGCATTGTAGCTACCCACGACATGTTTACCATAATCAGTAATCCTCACGCAGCTAGCCGTGGAAGTAGCGATGATGGAATGTTGAGAAATATTGGCTAAATGCCTAAACGATTGAACTAGGAAATAATGATTAATAATAATAGGTGAACTAGGAATTGAAATAATGATCAATAATAATAGGTGAATGCTATGATACCGATATCTTGAGGGTAACGTAGAAATTGATCAACTAGCTTTTGTAATATTCAATTACCGCTAAATCCTACTATACTCCGTATATTATTGTGCTAAATTTCGTTCTATGATATGGTTCACTACGGATTGGTTTGAAACGATTCAGGATGACTATTTTATCACCATAAAATCGACACTGCCATATCGTAAGGGGCGGATCCATGAATCCGAAACGCCCTGGACTGAATAACAATTATACTAGATTTAAATATTAACGGAGTGGGCTAAATGTGACAAATGAAAATATTTACACAAAAAAATTGAATTTTTTAAAGTTGCTCTGATCTTCAGCCCACCATAAACTGTACATAGATCTCCCCTACCTAAAGAATTGATATGGTATACGTATTACGTAGTGCAAAGTATGTGGCTCCCTCCCTAAAGAATTGCCTTGGCGGGCAGTAGACGGATGTTGGAAGTATTTGTTTTCGTAATTCCTTAGCACAGTGACATAACTATTACTCCAACACGTATGGCACAAAATTGTTTTAGCTAGTACCTAATTTCTAAACAAGTCATTTTATGTTCATTTTATTAACAAAACAAACACTTGTCATAACCCCCACGCTGAGAATATATGATAATGTTCTCATAAGGAATATTTTGGCGTGGTGAATGATCACAAACCATTCAGACAGTGCTACTTATTCATCACGTTAATGTGCTTTGATGGAGTATATGGTTAAGGATTCCCCGATTCACATAAACCTACAATCGCAACAAGCCCAACTACTTCAAATGGGCCCAGACGAGCAACCGAATACCCCTAATCTATGGGCATGCCCTCAGTAAAGAAATTCAACCTAGAGGACTTTCGGGTCGGCAATTTCAAGCACTCAACTATCGCATCTAATGATCCGTCGTCACGTGACCGCATCTACCTCACATCAATGCTTTCCGTCATAGACTAGCTTACACATGTATGTACATTTAATGCGATTAACATTTATGACTAGTATAAATAGTCGCCACTTGATAGATGTAATGTTCAAAAATCATGCTCCATAATGAGCACATTAGCAAATATATTTTCTCGTCAATCATGTAACTTCTTGATAAACACTTAATTACACAGTACTACTTATGACCGTGCTTGTTTGTAAACAAATTTAACAGACGTAGACAGGCTTTTATCAAACAAGCTTATTACTACTCCCTCCGTAACTTAAAAACCTTCACATTGCAAAAGTAGATAGATTAAGAATAGTGAAAGAGGATATATGAATTATTGAGAAACCAAACATTCCAGCCCAGCTGGTTGTGAGGTTACCGTGCATAGTGGGAGGTCTCGAGTTCGAATCCCGCTAGGCACACAAGGGTTGGAAACTCAATGGAATAAGTTTCAGCCCTGATTACTCTAGGCTCCCCCCAACCCCCCAACCCCAGACCCCTCCTGGAGTAAAAAAAAAGGATATGAATTATTGAGAGTATGGTGAGAAGATAGTGGAATAATGTGATGGAATGTAGGATCAATCCAAAAATAGTAGTTGTAATAGTGTATTATTTTCAGAGTTATTGAAGGTATGATGAGAAAATTTAGAAATGTGAATATTTTTTTGTTACGGGCGAAAAAGGAAAGTGAGAAGAATTTTTTTGTTACAGAGGAAGTATTAATGAAGCTCTATTTGTTTAAAATCCATACTCTCACACAATTACAAATACATACTCCATTCGTTGCAGACATATCTTCATACTTTTCTTTTTCATCCGTCCTAAATTTATCTCATCTTTCTCTTTTTGGTAAAAAATTTGTGGTTCACAACTATTCTTACAGATTCTTCCATATTTCTCTGTCCTCTGCACAATTCTTCATCACACATTTCCCACTATCTTAATTTATGTGCAAATGTACTTATTAAGATAAATATGGGACGGAGGGAGTACAACATTATTCAACTAACCAATGGAACAAAAATCATTTCACCAAAGGTTCAATTCCTTAGCACCCTACAGATCTCTGTATTCAACGGTTGGGATTTGGGAGCGAGTCCCGGGGGTAATAAACAGAACTGGTCAAAGCCAGTGTTACTCCCATTTCCATGCCTTCTTTTAAGCTCTTGGCGCCATATACCCCCACCCCCTTTTCCTGTGTTTAACACCAAATCAACTCCATCCACCCACCCTTCCTCCTCCATCCATGGACGACGATGAAAGGCCCGGAAACGCCCAGAACGTGGGCCCCGGAGCGAGCCCCGAAGAGAATAGCAGCAGCGCCTGCTCCAAAATCAGCAACAAGGAACAGGACAAGTTCCTCCCAATCGCCAATGTCGGCCGGATCATGAAGAAGGTCGTCCCTCCCGGCGGGAAGATCTCCAAGGACGCCAAGGAGTGCGTCCAGGAGTGCGTGTCGGAGTTCATCAGCTTCGTCACCGGCGAGGCCTCCGACAAGTGCCAGCGGGAGAAGCGGAAGACGATCAACGGCGACGACATCCTCTGGGCGATCACCACCCTCGGATTCGAGGATTACGTCGCCCCGCTCAAAATGTACCTCAATAAGTACAGGGAGCTGGAAGGGGAGAGGCTCAATCTGCCCAAACAGCAGAACCAGCAGCAAAACGGCGTCGTTGAGCACCAGAACCCGATGAATTTGGGCCCGATTTATAACCCTAGCAATGTGTACCCGGCGTCTTCGAATCCGGGGCTTATCCCCCACCACTCCCCGTACGTCTCCGCGCCGCCGTCGGAGCAGCATCTTCAGCCCTACCTGAACTTGCCCTTTCCGGCGACTCACCAGAACGCCACCGCTATTCAGGCGCAGTTCACTGCTCAGCAGGAACACATCGACTCAGTAGGCCATTGGCAATGATGAACACATACGTCGTCGGATGGCCTGTTATCCGTCAATTTTCCACATTTATTTTTTATTATCTTTTTTGTCCGTTTTTATTTCCTGTTTTTATTTATTACTATATCTGCAGAAATGAATATATATCAGCAGAAACATTTTTGAATATGTACTCCGTAATATACTAGCCAAAATAAGCCAGACGAACTTTGCTATAAACGCAGTATTTTTTTTTGAGAATTTACCCTAAATAGGATTAAAAACGTTTGTAAATTTCAAAATGGGATTCTCATGCTTTTCATTCTCAAAATGGGACTAATTACTGTCATGTTTTGGCAGTACCAGACTTTAAACATGTCAGTATTTTCCAATCTTGACAGTAATTACTCCTATTTTGGAAATAAAAACATGACAGTCCTATTTTGGAATTTACAAACGTTTTTTGTCCCATTTCAAGAACTTTCCCTATTTTTTTCCATTCAGACTTAGGGGTATCCCCAATATGGATTTTAATGGAGTTCAGTTAAGAAGTTATTCTCTTCGTCTGATCTGAATGTTTCTGATCTGAATTTATTAAGTTCTGATCTGAATCTTTCTGATCTGGTCTGATCTGAATCTTTCTGGTTCTGATCTGATCTGAATCTTTCTGATCTGATCTGAATCTTTCTGATCTGATCTGAATACTTTTGATCTGATCTGATCTCATCAAAAACTATTTTCGACGATGCAATCAAACAATATATCAATTCCTCAAGCGATGGGCCTGTTTGCTAGTGAATGTGGAGGTTTTGATGATATGGGGTTTGTGGAAAAGGATTTGAGGAATCATGTTAGAAATGAGAGGGAGAAAATCAAGGGTCAAGATGCTCAATTTTTTGTTGAAAATTTTATATATATAAAATTTGAGGTTTTTTTTATAAGGTGAAAAAAGATGACGAGAAGAAAATTGAGTTGGCTTTTTGGGCAGACCCGACATGTAGAAGATCATTTCATTTTTTTGGAGATGTGGCAGTTGTAGACTCCACCTACAACACCAATTGCTATGGCTTTCCTTTCACCACTTTTGTTGGTGTAAACCATCACTTCCAAACAATACTTTTTGGTTGTGCTTTTATGCATAAAGAGACATATGAATCGTACTCGTGGGTATTGACGGCATTTTTAGAGGCCATGCCTGGACCACGTACCCCCAAAAATGATTATCATTGATCAAGACCCGACTTTATCAAAAGCAATAAAAATTGCACTGCCCAACACATTTCATCGATTCTGCATTTGGCACATTCTCAATAAAATACCAGAAAAGGTGGGCTGTCCCACCAATGGGTTGGACAGTTTTAAGAGAATTTATCATATAATAAAGCATTCAGAGACACCTGAGAAATTTGAAGAAGGGTGGTCAAATGTGATTAATGAAAATGAGTTGGAGGAGAACGGTTAGATGAGTTACATGTTTGCAGTTAAGGGGATTTGGGTCCCGACATATGTCAATAACATATTTGTAGCCGGAATGTCTTCCTCTCAACGGAGTGAATCTACTCATTCGTTCTTGAAAAAAATTGTGTCCAAAGGTTGTGGCTTTAATGAGTTTGTTTCTAGGTTGGATAGAGCACTTTCTCGACAAAGGGAGACAGAGAACACATCAGATCATGAAGATAAGAATGGGAGGCCAAAACTACTCTTTGGGACGGCATGTGAGATCCAAGTTGAAAATTTATACACTAAGACCATGTTTCGGGAGTTCCAAAACGAGCTCCATAAATGTTTCACGTATGGGATTGAGATACAAAATTCTGAAAGTGATAATACATTTTATAGCTTATCTTATCGAGGCATGACCCTAGATCTTGAGCTTGTGCGACCAAGATGTGTTACTTTTAATAGTGAAATCAAAGTTGCAATGTGTTCATGTAGCAAGTTTGAGTTTGAAGGGATCGTATGTGCGCATATATTAAGGGTTTTTGATACATTGAGAATACATTAACTTACCGAGTATTATATTTTAGATAGGTGGAAGAAAGGATCACGTAGGGGAGTAGTGAAAGATGCAAATGGTATTGAAATTCGTGAAGATCGTAGGAGGGCTTTATCTGGGGGGAATGGGAAAGCACTTTATGCTTTTCTTAGCGGATATTCTGATTTGTCAGCTGAGTCATTAGAGGATCAGGAAGTTGGCCTCCTTCTCCTCGAGGAGTGGCGATTGAAATTTAAAGAGCACCTTTCAAAAAACACATCCAAAGAAAGTGGTAAAAAGACTCGTGAACACCCCACCGAACCATTAAAGTTTGTTGAATCGGATCATGCTAGACACAAAGGTTGTGGTAAACGATTGAAATCATCGATGGAAAAGGCGACATCACTCAATAGAATGTGCAGTGTTTGTAAAGGGCATGGTCATGATAAACGCAAATGTCCTAAGCCAGAAAATGGGTATGTGTGACAACATTTTCCTTAATATTGTATCTTTTATGTTTGTTAATTAAATTAACCCTATGTTGTTGTTTTGTGCAGAAAATCGAAAGATGCTCACGTTAACAAACCTCAAAGTACATAGTGCAAATCTTCTGAGTTGGAGCTTATCCCATATTTTTGTTAAATATTTGTAGGATGTGTATCTTTTGTTTGACTTAGTATAAAATCCAGTTGCTCTAATATAAAAAAAAATCCAGTTTCTCTAATGGGGCATCCCTAATTCCCTACTATAGTAGGAAAATCTAAGATGGAGTTCATAGACCAAAAGAATGACTTAAATTATCTAGTATTAGTTTAAAGATAAGTTGACTTGCATTGTGAAGATCATCATATTAGGACAAACTATTTTTACACATAATAAAAAAATTAATAATTAATTAAATTTGTTACACACCCATAGTAACATCATTTTTTCACAAGACCTTATTTGATGTTTAACGCACACAGGTTAATAAGGTTATGGGAGCCGAAAATAAAAACTGAAAGGAAACGAGAACTGTTTTATTAAAAAAAAACTCACCGAAATAAATGGCAACAGTTTTTAAGCGTGGGAAGACAATTAAAAGCAAAAAATCGTTGCCAAGTCCAGTTTGATCGAGTGCGGTGTTTTTGAGATGGATTTAAAAATATAAACAATGATATGTCTCAGTGTAAAATGTAAACAAATAAACAATGATAAATTTTGGTGTTGCCTAAGCTAAGCTAGTCCTAAAATGTACGTTGTAGTGTACATATATAAGAAGCCATACGCAAAAGAGATGGAACGGCTGAGTTAGGGCTAAAAATAGAAACGGAAGAATTCGGATATGTTGGAAGCCATTGATCAGGAGAAGAGAATAACTTGCAGTGGGGATAGAACCACTGAGAAAATGTGAGTTGTAGGCATTTCTTTATACATTATCTTTTAGTTGCAACATTGGATTTTTTGCACAATTCACATGTTCTATTTTGACTACATTTTATTAATTGATTTATAATAAATTAAATTTTTAAAAAATATTGTAAAATTCTTCTCATTCTAAAATTTTAAAATATGATTTTTTTTTAATTTTTTTTACTAATAAGGAATGAAAGATATTAATGGTCAAACTTGTGCGTTGGCAAACATGAAATGTTGAGTATTGCAATTAAAAAGGAACGGAGGAATTGAAGTAATTGTTTAAGTAGTTCATGTTTTCTTTGAAAGTATCTTCAAAAACATGAGACTACAAATACACAATCTGCATATAGACTAAGGATGTTTTCTTTTGGACTGAAATTTGCTGGTCTGGTCTGGTCTGGTCTGTTTAAGTCTGGTCTGGTCTGGTCTGTTTAACTCTGGTCTGGTCTGGTCTGAACTGGTCTGGTCTGGTCTGGTAAACGTCTGACCTCTGTGTATTTTATAACTACAGAAGTCTGGTCTGGTCTGGTCTGGTCTGTTTAAGTCTGGTCTGGTCTGGTCTGTTTAAGTCTGGTCTGGTCTGTTTAAGTCTGGTCTGGTCTGGTCTGGGACTGAAAACAGTCCAAAAGAAAACATCTTAACTGTGCAGGTAATTTTGATATTAGGTGTTATTGCAGAATAGTTTTGTGAAGGTAAGATTTGCACGTACATTCATCGGATAAGTATAAAAAATTAAATATCCGCTACGAGTTAGTCGTACGAACTAATAAAATGAAATTGCAGCCAAGGAAATTGAAGAGACAAGTTTAATAAAAAGTTTTATGATTTTGATTATTAATGATTTAGGATATGATTATTAAAAAGGTGAGAGGGGGAGTTGAAATAGTTCCCAGGTTTTGGGGTTATTAATTATTTTTTGGATCGGATCAAATAGATGGTTTAAATTGATATCACAGTCTTCGCAAAAAAAAAAAAAAAATTGATATCACAGCATTCAGCAGGGTACAAGATAACAAAAGAGGGACATGTAACCACCCGTCCATGGCTGAGAGTTAAACACCTGTAAAAAAGCATTATAACTAGCTAGACCTAAATTGGGCAACGTAAAGCCAATGACGGTTAACGCAGATGAGGTTATTAATTAATAATAATAGTTAAGTGCGGAGTAATAATAAAGCTGGCATTTGAGTTAAAAAAAACATTTGAATTACTAATTATTACAACTGGCCGGAACTGGCGCGCGTGTAACTGACCGTTTGGACGCCGGTATACGTATATAAATACTTGCTTAATTTGGGAAGGGTTTTGTTAAATTAGGAAAGGGTTTATTAATTAAGCTTGTGACTGCCGGCTGCCTCCTTCTGCGCGCGATCTGAGCTCCTTCGTCTTCGGCTGCCGTCATCTTCTCTTCCCATCGTCGTCGTCATCAGGTACCACCCTAGTATTCCAGGGTAATTTATACATACATACACATAGGTTATAGGTATATAGGTATGTGTATTGTAATACGGAGTATAATATATCGCGCCGGTGATCTCTCTGTCGATCGTTCTTCTGCCGTTCTTGACGAATTCCCCACCGGCGGCGTCGTATGTTAGGGTTACTCGATCTTAATTACATCGACACTAATAATTAAAAGCTCTTTTCGATCTTGTCCAATCATTCAATTCAATTCTTTCTTTTTTATTTATTAGCACCCTAATTTCCGATCCGATGGCCGGCCTGGCCGGTATGTATATATTACTGTATATAGTTAGTTCGTTGTTCAGACACACACACCCGCGTACATATATACGCCCACATGTGCCGCCGGCCGGCCGGCCTTCAAATACAGATATATATCATAATTACCAAACATGCAATGTAAAAGACATTCAAAACGATATATCAAATACAGATTAATTGTTAATTAATCTGTATGTTTCCTTCATTCTAATGCCATTACATGTTCCGGTACTGCCCACAAAGAACGATTGATAACATCGATTCAGCAGGCAATGTTGGTCAGTCACTCAGTCATTACCATGTCTTGATCATTGCTCTTACTATATATGGCCGCATCATACACATACTAACTACAATCCATAATTATTTAAATCACATTATATTTAATCAAACACAGTTTGCGCTCTTCATTCATCCATACTATACAATTTTTATTATGCAGGGCTTGTATCTAGCGGGGTTGGTTGGATACGTATCATGACTACTACCGTTCAGCTCCTGGATTCCCTTGTAATTAATTAATTTAAGCTTAATTTCCTTTAATTTGTTTATTTATAACAATGGCTCATAGATGTTGAAACTTTGGCCGATTCTTAAACTGATGTAGGATGTCCCCCATGGAGTGCCACAGATGAAACTCTGGACCGAACACCTCCCCATCCAAATAAAAAATCAGGGCAACACATGTAAGTTTCTTTTTGTGCCAACTCCTAACTATACACTCCACTAATAGCTAGTGTTGCTCCTAATTAATTAATTCGATTTTTTTTTTAAAGTATCAATTACCTAACTTCAAAATTGTGGCCGGTTCTTTTTTAAGCTCTACCTAGTCGAAATCCTTCCGATTGGGCTAAATTAAATTTAAGGCCTTAAAATGCTACGTCCAAAAATAAATATTAACTATATTAGAGTTTAGTTTCACTTCAAATGTGTAATTAGTGTTTTATTCAACTTGCAAATTCGCATGTTTATACTATACGTACGTAATATAAAAACAGGTTAATTCTATAAGTAAGTAATGTCCATATGTCCATGGATGTAATTGGATCTTCTTCTTTTTTATACATGCGTAATCATATATTAATTGTCTCCATTTTAAATAAATGAAACTTGTTGCTCACCTTTTGCATCATTTACATGTTCTCTTTTCACAACGTTTTATTTATTAATGTAATGTTCCTTCTTCTTTTTTGAAAATTATTGTAACTTAATTTCATCTTAAATTATTGTACACACACTGAAGGTGAGTCGAGATTGACTTATGCCTCTTTCTTATTAGGCCAAACACGAATTAAATTATTCCCTTTTCATTACTTATTCATATTATCAAGTATAAGTATTAACCGTTAGATCGTGTTAAAATTGAATTTTCCTATAGGAAAGTGTATTTATAATAACGAATTAATCTTAACCTTGGGATCGGATTAGTATAGAAAGTAAAAAAGAGAGTATAGTGTATATACTCCCTCCGTCCCTATTTTAATTATTTAGCCGGTCGTCCCAAAATACTTAGCCACTTTCTATTCTGGGTAGTAAACAAAATTAATTGCAATGACACAAATAACCTTCTTGAATACGCTCCATCAAATTCCTACTCACTCCACGTCCCTTCACTTTCTCTTAGACAATCTCTCTTCCTTTCACTTACCATGCATCTCTTTCCTCTATGGGAAACACCACCGCCATGGATGTTGAGGACATCGCTCCTCTATCTTCCTTATTAATCTTGGATCGAAGAGAGTAAAATATTTTCCATTATTCTGTTTTCTATTGTACAAGGCATGGCCGAATATATACATGCTTCCTGCGGCTAGATTAGTACGTATATTTCTCCTTTTGTGAGAAATTCTAGGAGATAAAGAAGGAAGGAATTAACTAGTGTGATCTCCATCCTAATCTAAACAAACGTGTGGTACATAACAAAAAATGTGACACAAATAAATTGTACAAAATAATATACACAACACCCCCCCTCAAGATGGAGCATGGGGGTCACAAATGCCCATCTTGCCTAGTAAATAAGAGAATTGCTGTGCTCCCAATGCCTTGGTCAATAGGTCTGCGGGCTGTTCAGTAGTTGGTGTGTAGGAAGGCGCAATCGTCCCAGCTTGAATATGATCCCGTATAAAATGACAATCAAGTTCAATGTGCTTCGTGCGTTCATGGTAAACCGGATTAGAAGCGATATGCAGCGCAGCCTGATTGTCACACAATAGACGGACGGGTGCAGCCGATGTGATTCCCAAAGAGTGGAGTAAGTTGCGGAGCCAAATAAGTTCACACGTCAAGGAAGCCATAGACCGGTATTCCGCCTCCGCGGAAGATCGTGAAACCGTGGCTTGCTTTTTGGTGCGCCATGACACCGGAGAATGGCCCAATGTAACAAAATATCCGGTGACGGACCGGCGTGTAATGGGACAGCTAGCCCAGTCTGCATCACAAAACCCAGTGAGAGTGAGAGGAGAGTCGGCCCGCAACAATATACCCTGTCCAGGTCGTCCTTTGAGATAGCGCAAAACCCGAAGAACGGCATCCCAATGTCCCACTCTCGGCCGCTGCATGAACTGAGAGAGTATATGAACTGTATAACATATGTCGGGTCTGGTCAACGTGAGATAAATAAGTTTCCCGACCAACCTGCGGTATCGTTCCGGATCAGAAAGGAGCGGACTCGAATCAGACTGCAATCTATGATTTTGCACCATAGGGAAGGTTACCGGCTTACATCCCGTCAGACCTGTTTCATTTAAAATATCAAGAACATACTTTCTTTGACAAAGAAAAATGCCTTTCGGACTCCGTGCAACCTCTATACCTAGGAAATATTTCATGACTCCCAAGTCCTTGATAGGAAAGGTGGCAGCAAGATACCGTTTAAATTGGTCAATCATGGAGTGATCATTCCCAGTTACCAACAAATCATCTACGTAAATAAGCACACACATAATCCGGCTACCCCTTTTCAATGTGAACAAGGAATAGTCGGCATGAGACTGAGTGAATCCGTATGCCCGTAAGGAAGTAGTAAGCTTATGAAACCAGCATCGAGGTGCTTGGCGCAAGCCGTATAGAGATCGAAGCAACCGACAAACCTTCCCGGGAGAGGAGGCCGAATAACCTGGTGGTAAGTGCATAAATACTTCTTCGTGAAGATCGCCATGAAGAAAAGCATTATCTACATCCATCTGATGTAGCTCCCAATGACAAGTGGCCGCCACTGCTAAAATGGTCCGTACGGTAACCATTTTAGCCACAGGAGCAAAAGTCTCCCCGTAGTCAATTCCTTGTATCTGTCTGTTCCCGCAAACTACTAAGCGAGCCTTGTACCGTTCTATAGAGCCATCGCTCTTGTACTTGATCTTGTACACCCATTTGCAATAGATCGCTCTCTTGCCGGATGGCAAGTCTTGGATCTTCCACGTCCCAGTGCTCTCCAAGGCTCGTATTTCTCGATCCATAGCCTCTCGCCAACGAGGATCCTGACTGGCTTCTCCAAAGCTGGTGGGCTCTTTTCCCGTGGAAATGGCTGCAAGAAAAGCTCGGTGCGGTACCGAAAAATGATCATATTTTACATAATGAGATATGGAATAAGGAGTACCTGAGTTAGCCGTTGGTGCAGGCGAGTGGACGGGGGAGGAGTTTATTGTGACCGTGTTCATCTGAACGTCGTAATCCTGATGCCAAATTGGTGCCCGTCTACTACGTGTTCCACGACGAGTCTGGCTGTCTTCATTCTCGTTCGTAGTGTGTCCAGAAGTAGTGTCCGTCTCATGAGTCATCACATTCTCATGTAGGAAGGTGTCATTAGCCCGTGTCTCACTTTCGCGCGTCCCACCTTCCATGCATGGCGAGTGCATGGAATCCTCATCAACATGCAGGGGTGCGTGTGGCATAGACAGATCAGTCCCAGTAATCTCAGCATCACTCGGAGCCTCCTTTTCCCTTTTGAAAGGAAAGACATTTTCCACAAATCTAACATCTCGGGAGACAAAGTGACGTCCCGTTTCTAGTTCATAAACCTTATATCCCTTCTGTGAATAAGCATATCCCAAAAAAACACACTTCGTTCCGCGTGGTGCAAATTTGTCACCCGCATTGTTTGGTACATGAGCATAGCACAAACAACCAAAGACCCTAAGTTGACTATATAAAGGAGGTTTATTATATAGCAACTCGTAGGGACTTTTATTCCCAATCACAGGTGAAGGCAAACGATTAATCAAGTATCCTGCCGTCAATACACACTCACCCCAAAAATCTATAGGCACATTCCCATGAAACCGCAACGCTCTAGCCACGTCCAAAATATGTCTATGTTTTCGTTCAACTCTACCATTTTGTTGAGGGGTATAAACACAAGATGTTTGGAAAATTATCCCCTGATCTAGAAAATATTCTCTCAGACTAACAAATTCCTTCCCATTGTCACTTCTTATCACCTTCACACTTTTATTAAATTGACGAGTACTCATAGCAATAAATTGTTTAAGAATATTCCGTACTTCACTTTTATCACGCATGAGATGTATCCAAACTGCTCTAGAATAATCATCTACCACAGTCAAAAAATAACGAGCCCCACATGTAGACAAAGTGCGGTACGGACCCCAAATGTCACAATGAATTAGTTCAAAAGGTTCAATAGCACGAGCATTACTAATATCAAAACTAGTACGGGTTTGTTTGCCACGCAAACAGGCATCACAAGATTTATTGTCAACGGTATTTAATAAGCTTTTATTCAAATGGCTAAGAGAACGTAAAACTTTCGTGGACGGGTGTCCCAACCTCGAGTGCCACAGATCTCCTGAGTCTGCATTTCCTATTACATTAGCTTGAGCTTGGTCCAGACCCCGGAAATAATAAACTCCCCCTCGTCGATCACCCACTCCAATCGGCATCCTCGTAGGTAGGTCCTGTATCACACACAAATCATTAGTAAAAAATATATCACATTTTCGGTCATCAATTAATTTTCCCAGGGAGATCAAGTTGCACTTTAAACCCGGCACAAGTAACACATTATATAAAATTAATTGAGCACTAAGCATCGCGGTTCCCATATGCGTCGCCTGGGTTATTTCTCCGTTCGGCAATGTCACCGCCACCGGAGCAATTTTGTTCTTTTCTTTTAAAATTTGACCATTCCCAGTCATATGATACGATGCCCCGGAGTCAAGTAGCCACTCGTAATTTATTTTCATACCTGTGAGCTTCTCTTCCGAAGAGTTAACCTTACTGTTTTCCAGTAACTTTATGAGTGTATTCCACTGCTCATCGGTGAACTCCGGCTTGTGCAACGTGCCTCCTTTGGTGTCAAATGCATCTGCCCCCTCGTCTCGGTACTGTCCTACGTGCATGGCCTGAGCACTGCCGCGTCCATTCCCTCGTCCAGTTCGTCCAGAGCCACCGCGTCCAGTGTTTCCTCGCCCTCGTGCTCCTCTACCTCGTCCAGGGTTATCATGCCACCATTCAGGATAATTTCCAGTTCGCCGGAAACAATTTTCCACATCATGGCCCTGTTTATGGCAGTAGCTACATGTGTTTCGCTCATCTCGTCCTCCGGCAGTAGGTGTGACTCGAGTGGCAAACGCTACTGTCTCCGGTGTGTCACTGCGGCCCTTCGTCATATTTTGATGGCGTTCCTCTTGCACCACCATGTGATACACCTTGGTGAGAGGAGGCAGTTCATCCGCGCTTAATATGTTGGAACGCAGGGTGCCGTAGGTTCCGTGATCCAACCCCATTAAAAAGTCGTGAGTTTTCTCCGACTCCACGTGTTTAAGGAAGAGCCTTTTGAGATTACATGTGCAACCATTACACTTGCACTGTGGAATATTCCGGATCCCGTCATATTCTTCCCAGAGTGTTTGCAATTGACCGAAATAGCTAGTCACGGATTGACCGCGTTGTTTGCAATCTCGTAAAAGCTCCTTCAATTCATGAACCCTCATGGCGTCTCCAACTGAAAATCGAGCCTCCAAATCAGTCCAAAGATCTCGCACGCTCTCCATATATGCGAGATTGGTCCTCAGCGTTGGATCAATAGCGGTCATAATCCATCCCACCGCCATGGAGTTGACGGTTAGCCAGTCTTCAAGGTCTCGCGGAATATTTATGGGTCGTTCGATGGTGCCGTCCAAAAACCCCATCTTCCGTTTAGCACGGAAAGCATTTTTCATGGCCGTAGACCACTCCCGATAGTTGCCTTCTCCCTTGAGAACAACCGCACAGATCATCATCCCGGGATGATCCGAGCTAGACAAATAATACGGTGATGAAGGGTCATTGATTTTCCGTCGTTCCAAATGTTCTCGATGGCCGTCTCCTCCGGTGTGACCTGTTTCTCCGGCCATTTTGTCGTCGTATGAGCGCGATTCGTAGGTCCCGAATCAGTGCTCTGATACCATATTAATCTTGGATCGAAGAGAGTAAAATATTTTCCATTATTCTGTTTTCTATTGTACAAGGCATGGCCGAATATATACATGCTTCCTGCGGCTAGATTAGTACGTATATTTCTCCTTTTGTGAGAAATTCTAGGAGATAAAGAAGGAAGGAATTAACTAGTGTGATCTCCATCCTAATCTAAACAAACGTGTGGTACATAACAAAAAATGTGACACAAATAAATTGTACAAAATAATATACACAACATTCCTTGAGACTCCACCTATGGTTGATGAGATGACGACGACGAGAGAGCTGCAAGGAACCAACGAGGATGAAGGTTTCCACACTGTATGGCGCCTGAAGAAAAGGACAAATCACAAATGCGTTTCTGGCGATGAAATAGAAGTATAGGACATCCAGAGGTTTCAGAATAATGAGGCAAAATAATTTGATGGAATCAAGTTGGTCTTTTGAAAACCTGAGGTTTATCTGTTCGTATGGTTGATTTTTTTTTTAAAAAATTGATTTGTTCGTATTTCAATTATAGGCATCTTGGTGCTGTTGGTGAATTAATTTTAGCTTGTTGGACACCCCCTTGATGTTTTCTCTCAACTCAGTGTCCTTTCTTGCGTAAGAACAACAATTACCTAGCCTGCAAATAGGAGCAAATGGGTCGTACCTTATTTGGATTTCTTTTCCGTCATTTAAATTGAAGGGCAAATTTGTCTAGCCAACCATATTTATTTTCATTCCTTATTCCTTGTGTCAGTCAACATTGGCTAAGTAAATAGGGATGGAGGGAGTATATTTTATTAATGTGTATATTTTTATTTGGTAACACTATTATTATTTTCATTCTTAAAAGTTGATGCAATTTTTATTTTCAAAACAGTTGTTTGTTGGGCATATGTTGCGGCTAAGCATTATGAGTATGTGAGGGCCATTATGTATCCGGATGACCCTCACATTTCATTCTCCGTTCAACAGCTCATCGACGGTGTGTGCCCTTCTCCACGGAAAGTGGATAAGAAGGGGGGATACAAATGGAGAGCAAGCAGCGCACTCCAATGGATTGTGGACAATGGCCTTGCAACAGAGGCGGATTACCCCATGGCGCCGTATAGGGGATGTTTTCGACAGCTTATGGTATGACACGTGCAACCAATATTTAGTTATGACTTGGTGCTTTATTTCGATCTTGTGAATATAATACTTCTTTTTCTTTCTTTGGCAGTCTAATTGGAAATTTAGGGCCTCATCTGTGAAGTTGATTCCCGACGGAGATGAGGACGAAGTCATCAGAGTAGTTGCCAAACATCCCATTGCGGCATGCGTGGAAGTGTATCCGTCATTCATAAAATTGGAAAAGGTATATATTATGTTTTTATATAACAATCATTAAGGTTTATATTAATATTTCATTACCTATGTAGTACAGTATAAGATAACAAAGTAAATTCGCTCTCATATATGGAGTATCTTAAATATGTTTGGCAGGGTGTTTATCGGGGCCCAACCCCAGAAGAGACCAGCAAAGGCAAGCACGCAGTGGCGATCGTTGGTTATGGAAGAGACTTGACGACAAATGAAGAAGTGTTCATAATTGAGAACACTTGGGGCACGGGTTGGGGGGATGGCGGCCTTGGCAGAATAAAGCGTGGCCAAAAATTTGGCCAAACCCCTTTTCTAACTAGATTTAGTTATTTATGTATTTAATTTGTGGGTTGTGTGGGGAGGGGTTGGGGGTGTCTATTATTAGTGTTAGGATTAATTAGTAATAATGTGTTCTTAGTGGGGTGCGTGCGTATTACTGTGGACTCATGTGCGTGTTTTTTTTACAGGTTAGTGTGCGCGTTTGCCATCGGTTGAAGACCGTCAAGTGTCACTCGACGTCTGAAGCTGAAGGGAGGAAACGCTACTATTTAGGAGTTTAATTATTAATAGAATAGAGAATATCGAACAATTAATTTTGCTTTTTAGTTCTTTTTGTTATTGTTCAATTCCTTTTTAGAATTAGAACTCTATTATACCTTAAGTTTAGTTTTAAAATGGTAGAATTTTATTCCTTTTTTGTTATTTTGCATGTCGATGCTTTACATATTTCCATGCAAACTTTTACATTGTTTTTTAATCTTGCTATATAGGGTTTCAATTTCAAAGCTATTTAACTAATTACAGGGAACCTACGACCACACGCACCTATCCATCACGGTCCATGGCCAAAGTCATGGCCGATTCTAAGATAAAAGGGGGTCAAGCACGGGGGGTTGTTTTTATCAAGAATGTTTTTAAAGAGGTCTCATTGACTTGGCAGTTAAAAGGCAGTTGGGCAATGGGATATCCAGAAATCACCCAACTGACCCTTGCCGCTGACATACCAATTTCCATAAATGGATATTCCAGCTCCTTCAAAGTTTTACGATGTACTAAATTGAAAGGTGTCGGTATACAGTGGAGGACCTAAGGGGTTAGGTGGAGCACGTACCCCGCTTCCAGCCCGGAATTTCACTAGTAGTACTTAGGATAAAAACGAGTGTCCCGAATTCATACCAGTATTTGATAATTAAGATACTAAAATGTTACGGTTATATAAATAAAAAATTAATACAAAATATTTAAATTTTAGCTGAATTAAAATAAAAGATGCCTTGATCCTAGAGATAAGTTCCCCGATTTCTGTGAGTCAAAGCTACTGAACCTTGCGGAGTTATATTCATGCGATTTGTTGATACGGTTATTATCATATTTTTTTGGTCCATTTCCAATGTATGACAATAATGCCATAGATCCGCAAGTTCAATACAACGAGGTTAGTACTTTATTTTATGTCTTATTTAATGATTTTCATGCACAATATGGCAACGCGCCCCCTCCCCCGACACAAACATCTTCATCTAAAGGAAAATCACTTTTTAAATCTGCTTTTGACAATCTTATGAAAAAAAGTAAAACAACTCACGCTACTAAACAAAGCGCAGTTAATGAAATTCTTTGTATATAATTTATGAGGTTGAATTTGAAGAAAATGATGACTTTGACATTCTAAAGTGGTGGAAGTCAAAAGAAAGAATGTTCCCGATTTCAGCACGGATGGCTAAGCAAGTGCTATCACTGCCGGTTTCAACAGTTGCCGTTGAACAAGAATTTAGTTCGGCTGGCAGCGTCCTAACGGCATCTAGAACGAGTTTGAGCGCAGAGTCTCTTGAGACGCTTTTATGCTACCACAATTGGTTGAAGGTCATACGTAGAACTCAAGAAATTAGCATCACCCCCTCCCAAGACTTTATGGATGAATCAACAACCGAGGGTGGCTCCTATGCCGGAGATTCCGATTGATTAGTATTTTACAATTTATTATAAAATGTATTTCATGTTTTAATTTTTCCCTCAATTCTCTATTGTAATTTGTAAACTTGTAGTTCATATTTCAAATAAATATACGTTCATTTTTTTATATGTAGCACTTCTCAAATTAATTAATTGATTACAACTTACAACTTAGAATTAATTATATTATTATTTATTAGAAAATGTATTTCATATTGTATTTTTGTTTTCTGCGATGTACTATTTGTACCACTACAAGAAAATGCTCTATTTGCGAAGGGAAAAGTAGTCGCAAAAACCTAAAAACTGGTCGCTAATTGTTAATTGCGACTGGAAAATGTGGTCGCGTGACGGTTGTTGTAGGCTTGGCCACAAATGATATTTTGGGCTTCAAAATTGTAATGGACTTTTACAATATTTTAGAAATAAAAGTAATTATTGAGTAGGGAGTCGGTACGGTATTATACCGGTATACCGCGATATTTGAAAACATTTACCGTTACCATACTGAAATAAATCGGTACGATATGATACTGTACCGAACATTACAAGAAAATGCTCTATTGGCGAAGGGAAAAGTAGTCGCAAAAACCTAAAAACTGGTCGCTAATTGTTCATTGCAATAGGAAAATGTGGTCACGTGACGGTCGATGTAGGCTTGGCCACAAATGATATTTTGCGACCAGGAAAATCGGTCCGTCGCTAAACGTTTTTGGGACCACATAAAATACCGTCGCTAATAGTATTATTACAGACCACTTCCTAAGACTAATTATGACCGTTATCCCTTCGCTAAATCTAATTTATTAGATTCAGGGTTATTATTTGTCACAACTTAATTAGCACATTTGCGACCATTTTCCTTTCGTTTTTATATTCCAAAAAATTAATATGTTGAGTTTTTTTTAAAGGTAATATGTTGAGTTTATGTATGCCAAATAGGCCTGGTCGCCTGGACTCGGACCGGGTGGCCCGACCCGGAACCGGACCGAACCGGCACTGTTCCGGCCCGGCCCGAGGGCCCGGTCAGTGACCGGTCCGGGTAGGCCCGACCCGCGGGGGTTCCGGTCCGGGCTCGGGTCCCCCAAATCCCGAACCGGCCCAGGCGGTTCTGGCCCGGTTCCGGGCCTTTTTATTTTATTTTTTTGATTTTTTTTACTTTTCGGGTTGGGCTGGGTACTCTGGGCCATTTGGGATGGTTTTAGGGATGGACTCGGGTCGGGCCAACTGGCCCGGAACTGGCCCGGACCGGTACTGTTTGTACCCGGCCCGGCTCGGTAACCAGTCTGGGTGCCGGTTTGGTCCACCCAACCCGGTCAGATAGCGGTCCGGGCTCGGGCCTGCTTATTAGTGAACCGGCCCGGCCGGGCCGGGCCGGGCCTGGTCCGAGCCTCAACGGTCAGTTTTTTTTTCTAAAATTAATATTTAGAGGCTCTATAGCCGTTGGGAATGTTCCCAAACGGCTCTATAGCCCGTTGGGAGCATAGGTGGGGGGGGGGGGTCTGGGGGGTTAGGGGGGGTGGGGGTGGGGTATACAAAAAAAACCTTTTTATACTCCTATTTTCTATACGTTTTTTACACCCCTTCTTCTACAACTCCTCCTACTCTCTAATTCTCTATTTTCTCAATCTCTCATATTCAATCATCTTCATTCTTCATTTTCTCCAAATTCTTTCTACATATATATACTTTATATAACTATTATATCACCTTATATATTAATTATCTACTTATAAATATACACCTATATATACTTATACACATTCATATTATAATTCTTAACACATTATATATACTATATATACTTATACACATTCATATTTACTTGATATTTACTTATTATCCATACTATTGTTATTTACTTATATTTACATATTACATTTAGTTAATATATACTTATATATATATGTATTAAAGTATTAAGTATAAGTGTATTACTCATCTTATAGTAATATACTTATATATTATATACTATAAACGTTATATTATATATTACTTATAATATATTTACACATTATATATACTATATGTACTTATACCCATTCATATTTACTTGATATTTAGTTATTATCCATACTATTGTTATTTACTTATATTTACTTATTACATTTAGTTAATTAATATATACTTATATATATATATATTAAAGTATTAAGTATAAGTGTATTACTCATCTTATAGTAATATACTTATATATTATATACTATAAACATTATATTATATATTACTTATAATACATTTACACATTATATAAACTTTATAGACTTATACACATTCATACATTTTATAAAAGTAGTAAATTGTTAGACTTCTCATTTATCTATTAAATTAGTTAATTGTTACATTTCTCTACATTTCTCTTTAAAGAAAAAAAATATTAGTTAGTTGTTACGTATATCATTTTTCATTTAATATTAGTTAAACTAGTTACTTAGTTAATTGCTACATTTCTCATTAAAGTAAAAAAACTAGTTAATTTTTACATTTGTCATATTAATATTTGTTAAACTAGTTAATTGTTACACTTGTCATATTAATATTAGTTAATTACTACATTGCTCATTAAAGTAAAAAAAAAACTAGTTAATTTTTACATTTGTCATATTAATATTAGTTAAACTAGTTAATTGTTACATTACTCATATTAATATTAGTTAATTGCTACATTGCTCATTAAAGTAAAAAAAAAAACTAGTTAGTTTTTACATTTGTCATATTAATATTAGTTAAACTAGTTAATTGTTACATTTCTCATATTAATATTAGTTAATTGCTACATTGCTCATTAAAGTAAAAATAAACTAGTTAATTTTTCATTTTTCATATTAATATTAGTTAAACTAGTTAATTGTTACATTTCTCTTATTAATATTAGTTACTTGCTACATTTCTCATTAAAGTATTAATTAGAAGTAGTTCGATTTTTTTTCAAGGAAAACAAATTGTTACATTTGATATACTCATATTTTAGTTCGAATTTGCTATAGTTTTCTTAGTCACGTTTTATTATTACTATTGTACTCATCTAAAATATTTGATATCATTTAATATTTGTTCAATTTTAAAGATGGACCGTGGTAGACATTCTGTAGATATGGGTAATCTCCAATGCAACTGAAATTAGCTCTGTTGTATCTGCTAGGGAATGCCTTATTTGGAAACCAGAAAAAAGTAGTACTGCCTTCATACTATGTGAATCTGGTGGATGATATGGAAGCTTTTAATAGCTACCCATGGGGAAGAGACATCTGGGATGATTTGGTCAACAATGCAGGAAAAAGTGTTGAGTTATTGACTACAAGTTCTTCAGACCGTGTCACATTTCCTGGGTTTATGTTTGCTGTACAAGTATGGGCCTTTGAAACTCTTACAAGACTGAACAAAGCTGGTATTTGCGCCTTCAAAGAAAATCAAGAGAATGCTATTTCTCACACCCTGAAATGGAGTTTTAACAAAAAGCCAAGTCTGCAACTTCTGTGCAAGTTGATATTCCATAACAATGAGGTATCAATTGAAATATTTTCAATGTACATAATTGATTTTAATATAAATATATTGATGAAATGGTTTCTTATTTGCAGTTTGAATATAAACCAATGGAACCAACAGCTCAAGAGATGGAAATACCAGAGTTGGCATTACTGTTCCAAAACTTCGAAAGAGAACTTTGGCAGTTTGATGGTGGAATAGACTGTAGTGAAGAGATACAAACTGAAGGTAATGACAAAGGTGCAGATTGCAATGAGAAAGAAGTTGAAAATGGAAGTGGAAAGGTGGAGAAAAAGAAGAAGTCAAGGCCCAGAAAGGGTG